TCTTGGAAAAGCAGGGGGATACCTGAGGGTTGATACACACTTGTGCAAACGTGTTCTAGTGCATTGAGCTAAGTGAACACTTCCAAAACTGAGGTGTGCCTGGGCATACCTCAGTGGGGAAACATTTGCCCATGTACAAGGCCAAGGGCTTATTCATCTGCACTTCAGACAAACAAATCAAAACCTTACAACCAGCATTCAATCCTGCCCTCTGGACAAGCTAGTAGTGTTAACTCTCTGTTGAGCTCTGATGCACACTGTGTTCCACTCTTGTTACTTTCCTGGTAAAGCTCAGAGCACACTGCTTTCCACAGAATATTCCAGCATCCAAGTGAAGATGCGAAGCTGGCTCATTTGTGCAGGCAGCACACAATGTGATGGATTTTTTTAATATAATTAAATTATAAGTAAAATACAGGGAATCATTATTTTCATAATTTACAAAATATAGGGCACATATTAAGATCCTGGAAGGTTCTAAGCTTAAACACCATTGACTTCTATCAAAGCTACTGTTCCGTGCAGACATCCCCGTGAGCTCTTTGTCCATGTGCACCTTGTCTGTGTGACTGTCCTTTTGACTCTGCATGTCATGGTCTTGTCTTCTCACCATCCACTTTCCTTCTCACAGTTCCTTCAGTCATTCATATTTATTTTGATGTGGCTTTCCCCATGTTCCACCCATCCCATCAAGCAAGGGTCTCGTATACATCATCCACATTAGCTGTTTATAGTGTCCTGGCATAACCATTAGTAGTGCCCCCATTTGCTATGACATTACATGATGTGGTCTGTTCCCTGTGTATTGTTGTGAAGAGACTCCATTTTATATATGGATATTGCTTAGAAGAATTGTTCTCATTCCTGGATTCACTTATTTTCCTCCTAAACTCATATTGGCCATCCGCTGTACTTCAAGTATCGTTAATGTGAATTGGAGCCAATCAAGGCTTAGAGACGGGTCATTCTATTGTCAGTCGGTTTCCGCAGCAATGAACAAAGAATCTTTTCCTGAAGCTGTCAACAGATATAGCTGCAGCACAGCTTCTGTAACCGAGGCTCAAGGAAACATCACAGAAGAAAGGTGAGAGAGATTGTGAGAGCCAGATGGCCGGGAAGTTGCTGTGACACCATGTCTCCTAGAAGGGGCTACCTAAAGTCCTGGACAGTATGAGCATAATAGACAATTACCAATGATAATAAAGAAGTGGAAGATGCCATGGGGGTCCCACACCTAGACACAGAGTGACAGGCAGCTTCCGACTGCTGGGAGAGGAACAATTAGCCTCTCAGGGTTAGGTTCCTGATTGTTGGTCAGTCCTTCTGCATACATAGAAGCCACACTAAATGGGCTCAGCAGGCTGTATTAATATATTTATGCGTATATATGAAACAATAATCAAAGAAAAAGAGGTCATCAATTTGAGGGAGTGAGAAGGTATGGGGGTGGGAGGGAGCGGACATAGGAGCAGTGGAACGGAGGAAAAGGAATAAATAGGGAAGTGATGGAATTATATTTTGATTAAACATTTTAATACATTTAATAAATTAAAAAGTTACACATTAAATATTAAAAGAAACATTCACCACATTCTGTCTGTGCACACAAAACTTTTCTCTGAGACCCCAAGATGACCTTCTTTGTATCTCATCCTATGTATTATAACATAAAAGTTTTCAGTTATATATTCCCCCTGACCATAGAGTGAGATGCAGTTTAAACAGAAAAATCTTGCTGTCCTGTTTTGTTTTGTTTGGAGGTGAATGTTCATTATCCTTATATTCTGGATATCTTGAAATAGTAAAGTGTATAAATGTTATCCCATTCTAAGCTGCTAGATGTTGAGCAGTGAAGACATCACAGAGGATGAGGCAGAAACTGCTCATGCCCAATAAACTCGTCATATATCAGATCAGCTGCGGGATTCCTGAGAGCTACAGACTCCCAAGACTGGAGAAAAATGGGTGGGTGTTTGCAGTCTGGAGCCCGAGCTGGATTTCAGCCCACTTTCTACCACTCATCTCCTGCAGGGTCGTGAACTTAGTGAATCTCTCTGATTATTCATTTCTCCCTCTGTAAAACTGGATTAGTGTTAGCATTTATTGCAAAAGGTTATTATAAAAATTATAAAAATGAAATGAGGTATTCTTGGTAAGAAGGAAGCCGACTGCTAAGGAGCAGATGCCACCAGCATATTCCCCTGTAAGCCCTTTTATACAATCAACATTTGGGGTGCCACTTTAGAAGAGCAGGATTACAGCTGTCGGGTGAGGAATGGCTTGCTTTAGCAGGAAAAGATGGCTCCAGAAGCAATAATCTAGATTCTTCCACTGATTGGTTCTGTGACCAGGAACAGAGCTTAGTTTTGCCACTTCTCAGAGGGTAAAGACTGCTTGTCTCAAGTCAACAAGGGATGTCAGAGGAACCAAGTGAAACAATGTATGATAAATTAGTTATAAAATATTATGTATATTTTATATAAAATAACACTTTGCGTTTTCAAGATATCCAGAATATAAGGATAATGCACACTCACCCCTCCCCCACCCAAAAATCCTCATCCTTAATAAGCAGGTTTTGAATGAATATTGAAATGAGATACATACGAGGTATTTAATACCGTTTTAAAACAAGCCACTTGCGGGGCAGTGGTGGTGCACGCTTTAAATCGCAGCACTCGGGAGACAGAGGCAGGCAGATCTCTGTAAGTTCGAGGCCAGGCTGGGCTATAAGAGCTAGTTCCAGGACAGGAATCAAAAGCTACGGAGAAACCCTGTCTTGAAAATTAAACAAAAACAAAAACAAAAACAAAACAAAACAAAACAAAACAAAACAAGCCACCAAGCCACTTGCTTATTTTCTCTCATTAATTCAGGACTTCAGAGAATAATTCTTCTATGAGATAACCCTATTTTACTAGATGTCTCAGCATTAATACATATTTAATTTCCATGAATCTAATTTTAGGGATTTAGTAAAGTAAATAGACATAGATATCTAGAATTCTCTCAAGGATTTGAGTTGAGTCACCAAAACAGGGGAGCCAGAGTTCCAGAAGGGCCGGCGGGACGAAAGATGAATGGGGACGCTCTGTGGACTTTCCTTGGGCTGAAGCTGATCAAATCTGTGGGCATTGTGAAGCTGGAGTGGGAATTGGCTGGGCTTTAACTAGCTCAGCTAACGGTTGTTTGTAGGAGCCTGGGAAGCCATAGTCCTCTTCAGCAACCTCACTCCCGCGGTCGCTGTCTCCCCTCTAGCTCCTCCCATTCTTCCTGGCTGTGACCACTTCTGAAAAGTCACAGAGGATGGGCATAAACACCCTGCTTATTTTGTTTATAAAATCCAGAGGACAGCCTGCTGCTGGACTCAGGCCCCTCCCAGTTACCACCTTTGCCCTTTGCTGCACAGTTCTCTTCCTCCTTCTTGCCTCTCCCACCCGGAGACCCGACTGACTTAGGATAAACTAACATTGGTTGTGCTTCTATATTTAGAGTTCAAGTAGATGAGTCAAGGGTTCTACCTTGATTGACAATAACACAAACTTCCCAGGACAAAGGAAATATGCTATTGAAGTCTCGAGATACACGTTTAATGGTGCTGGGGATTTTGCACTTGCTGCAAAAGTGTTCTTTTGTTGAGTTACACGCAACCTTAAGATTAGTTTTCTGTAGGAGAGAATAGAAAACAAACAGAAAGAGAAAATAAAAAGAACAGCAATAGTTTGAGGAAGAATGGTGAGAAGGCAGTTTCTGAAAAGCAAGGTTGGGTACATCACGTAGGAAGTAGGCGGCAGGAAGACTTCAGTACTGAGATTCAGTGGTACCAAAATGGAGGTCAGAAAGCTAACTTTAAAGGACAGTGGTTGATTCTGGCACTGCTACTCACAGACAATGCAGTACCCACAGCCGGAGCATTTTTCCTTTGAGCCGACCTTAAGTGTGGACAAGTATGGTGGAAGGAACTCGTAGGTGAAACCTTGGCAAAGAGTGTCTTGAATAGTCATCTATGGAATGGTGGCTAAGAAAATGACAGCTTTAAATCCCGATTCAAGGGCTATTCTAACTATAAATGGTTCATGAATCAAAAACTTCTGATGGCACTATTAGGAAAGTAATTTCCCTTTGTAGGAGAATAAAGAACTCCCTTGGAAGAATCTACTGTTAACTGAATGGGTAGAACTTGTCATTCATGACCATAATAGCTGAAGATTCTCAAGAGGGATGGAAGTCTATAAGGGAAGCAACAGATGACATTATGCAAAAAAAAACCCATAAGTACGATAACTCTGAATATAATCAAATCAATGGAGATTTTAACTACTGTGATAATAATATAAATTTTTACTGTAAATCAACTTCTTGAATAACTTTAGTAGTTATAATATCAATTTTGATTGCCAGCATCAACTTTATTGGATTTAGAAATACCCAGGCATTAATGGGGCCCAAAGTTAGGTGTGTCTGCAGGAATGTTGCCAGAGAGACTTAATTGGGAATTCCAGAGGGAAGACATGCCTGTAATTGAAGATTGCTTTTTTGTTTCCTGGCCACCCAGACCCGAATAATCACACAGAAACTATGTTAATTACAACATTGTTTGGCCTATTATTTCAGGCTTCTTTTTAACTAACTCTTACATCTTAAATTAACCCATTTCTATTAGTCTATGTATTGCGACAAGGCCGTGGTGTTACCTCATTTTCTACATGTCTTTTTTTTTTTTTTTTTGGTGGCTGGATGGTGTCTTTTTGAATTAGCCTTCTTTCTCCCTGCATTGAGTTTTGTTTTCCCACCTAGCTCTATTCTGTCTGCCATAAACCAAATCAACTTCTTTATTAGCCAATGGTAATAAAACATACCGACAGCATGCAGAGGGGAATCCCACATCATGCAATTTAAATGTGGATTGAAAAACACCATGTGATGGTATCCTGATCTAGAAAGAAAGGCAGAACAGATACAGCCAGCTGAAGACCAGTGGTCTGTATTCTTGCTTTCAGAGGTGGAGTATCTCTGGTGCCTTGACAACTATGATGGATGGTGTCTTCAAACTGTGAGCCAAGTAAGTAGTTTCTCCTTTAACTTGCCTGCTTGGTGGGTCAAGAGAAAAGGAACTAAAATAGCAATATTAAATACATACCATGTGTTAATACTAAATATTACATATATTTAATATTTGGACTCATATACTATAAGATATCATTAGTAATTTATGTGTAACATGTATATTTATTCACATACATATATAAAACTACATGCCATATATAAAATTTGGAAATATGAATTTCTATTTTGAATTTTGATTATTTTAATGTAAAATAATATTGCACGTTCCATAGGATTTAATATCCTTCACAAACATGATTTTAAATAGATGTCTGATAGATTATGGCAATGAACTGGTATTTTATTTTTTCGTTTATAGTGTTTCTAAATATCCATTATTACTAAATAGCACTTTAGTGAGTGACTGCGAACCTGCAATTAATGTGTCTCTTTGACGGTATTAATTTGTGGCTTCTTCAGCACATTAGATCCAGTGATGCTTGGTTTACAAAAGCAAATGAACCTTTCTGTTAATTTTCTACAGAGTCAGTGGGCACCCTTGTTAATTCTGGCATTTGTGGGTAGGAAAACCACACCGTGTACCTTAGTCGTTATTTTCAGTACTCTTTTCTCTGCGGTATATCCACACCTCAGAGACTTAACCTGACTTCAGTGGATCCAAATCCATATAGCAGGCTTCACTGGCATCTGGGTGGGGGGACATTCCAGTGTTAAGAAAACAATCCACAGCGCCTCAGCAAGTGAGACAGCATGCTTGAAAAGCTGTATGCTAATTGATTAATAGGATGCCAAATGCACCAAATCAGAGCTGTTTTATGGGTGAAATAGAGTTCCACAATTCCCAGAACCAAGAGTGTCTGTTAAATCATTATTTTTAACCACTTGAGTTTTATAATTAGCCTATAAAATATGTCTTGGCATTCTGAAATGATAGGAGTCTTAGGTAAACTTTCATTATGGGCACTGATTTTTAGTGATGAACTATAGAAATGATCCCTGAAAGTATAGTCTTGGGCACTGCCTTTTAAATGAAGGGACTTCTGTAGGAACACAATTTTATGCACATACCTTTATCCAGTACAGGTGTGGAGGTTGTCCAGGCACTGCTTGTGACAGCCGGTCTCAGGGCCATCTATGTAAGCTTCAGAAGGCTCCTAAGGAGGAGATACTAATGATGTCTGTGGTGGGGGAGGTGATCTTGCTCAGCCAAGCCCCATCATAGGCTTCCAATACTCCCCAGGCTTATTCCACTTCTGGACTTGGCTGCTTTCTTCTACCAACACCATGCGTGTCTCCTCTACCACCTGAACCTTATGTTGCCTTGGATCTCGGGTGTGTTTCCTGATGTTACACACACGACTTGGTTGGGCCCCCCCTCCTCACTGGCATGAGGAGACATCTGGTGCTCCCACTGCTTGGGAATGATTCCAGCCAATTTTCACCCCACTTTACCCTATTTCTGCTTAAACTTGAATGATGCCCCAGCCTCTCCCTATCTGTATTTATTTGTCTTCAAAATGTGGTTAGCAATAAGCCTGATGCCAGAAGGGCATGGATGATGAGATGAGGAGGCGCACATCTGGTATACTCGCTGGATGTTTGCTCCCGGGATGCATGGCATTACTGTAGTTAGCTGGGAGTGCTCCAAGGAGACTGTCCCTTAAACTATGGCAGAATGTTCCAGTGTGCAGACTCTCAGCTGTGGATTCTCAGCCCTGGAAGTGTGTTAGAAGGCTGTGCTTGGCACTCTCGGTGCCACACACAATGCTCTTTAGGGTGTCTATTTGTGTTCTGCTGGAACCCATAGAGCAGGCTGCCTGCCAAGGGCTCTAGGGAGCCCATTTGTGCCCACAGAGTAGGAGAATGAGCTCACCACTGTTCTCTACCCTGCTGACTTGGTTCAAACCCCAAACGTAAGCGGAGTTGCTTATCTACCTGAGTGCTGTTGGCCTAATGAATTACTTTGGAATATGAATCAGTAGTCCAGTGTCGCCGCTATTGTCCAGATCACGTTTGCACTTCCCCTGAGAGAACGGCCTGCAGAGTCTATGTACACCCTTTGATCCCAGTTGCTATACTTTTCCCCAAGGGTGGATTTAGGCTAATTCTTTGATAAGTGTGTATGCTTACAGAGTCAGTGTGAGGATAAGGCAGAAGTTATAGGCTGGCTTAGTCAATGCACATCAACTGCCTGGATGCTTGTTTCCTTTAATAAGAAGGCTCAAAAGCAGACATGTTCCATATCTTGCCTTCTTTGATTTTTTTCATAACTTACAGTGACTGGATTTGCCCTTGTCACTAATTCATGGGTAGTAATTCTTGGGAAGGATTCTATTCTCACACTAAAAGTCATGAGTTGGGAATGAATTTGGTCCTTTTATCTGCTTCAGCGACTGTGTCCAATTGCAGGGGGTATTTTGCAGCTTACAATCATGAAGATAAAGCCATCTCCCAAAGGTGATCGTGTAGAATAGTAGGAAGCATTGAGAGCCTGACATCATCCTAGATCTGCTAGTTTAGCCCTGGAGTATGACTAAGGTACTCTGTTTGTATGTCCAAAGTATGCCTTTGAGTTTCTGTACATCATCAGCTTTGAGCTCTCAGGATCCCCTGGTTACTGTGTTCCTAACAGAGTTCTGAGGACAATTCAGCATGACTTCTGCATGGCATTCCACTCAGGGAAGCTGGTGCGCAAACTGCAGATCGTCACCTCCTCCTCCTTCCCTACAAATTCAATCCTGTCTCATCTCCAGCCTGGAGCAGACCACCTGCTTCATCCTCTCCTCCCTTTCAGTTCAGATCTTCAGGGGAACACACAGATATCCCTCTCCAATTTCCTTTTCACAACTTCCAGTTTTATCTTAGCCTCCAGCTCCAGCAGGCATCCCCTGGGAGCCTATAGGCTACTCCGGGCAGCAAAGCAGGGAGGCTAGTGTTAGATCTTTACTCTCCCTCCTCTCCTCTGAACCCCACACTCTCATCCCCAGCTCTGTAGCAGACTGCAGTTGTGGCCTCTTCTTATTCTCTGCCCCTATACCCAGGGAACTAAGCAGATCCTGGTGCCATACTCTGCTTTCCTCCCTGCTCCCTGCCTATCACCATTCCTAAGTGTCAGCTCCCAACACCTAGAAAAACATCTTACCCCCATAAGACATACCTAGCACGAACTCAGATCAGTTCCCTATGAGGTAACACACAGCTACCACACTGTCCTAAGAACAAGAGAGGACAACAGAGACCAAGGAACAAAATACACACCCAACAAAGAAAAGACCAGATGTTTTAATCAAATTCGATTGCTTTGAAGTGATACCATGAGCGTGGCAACTCTTTAAAAGAAAAAGATATGTTATTTTTGGAGAGAGGGAGGTTATGCTTTTGTTTCCAGAAAATGAGAGGCTGTGGTTGACAAAAATAAGGTTTGATCAAGGAAGACCCCTGAAAAATCTCTAATGAGAGCAGATGGTCCAGATGATCCAACATCTCAGAATACCTCAGTTGCAGTTTCCTCAGAAGTCTGTATCCAGACCGCTTCAAGGTTGCTGGCTGAGATGGATCCAGCCTCACAGATTACTTCAGTCAGTACTTGACCATAGTCTAAATTTTCTCAGGGTCCCTCAAAGATTACCAATGCCCCAAATCAGCAGGAAGTAGAGAATTATGTCCACATTCCCCAAAATAAATTATGCATGTTTGTAAAGGGGAGTTGGTTACAAGTTGTTATGGATCATGGTCAGAAAACAAGCTAAACAAAGGAGATTAGATTCAAGAATCCTGCTATGGAAAGGAAAAGGGTGGGGGATATAGGAATGAGAGGATAAAAGGGTAGATTGTTGAATCTACTTTAATCCAAAAAAAGCTATTAATCTCAGGATATTTTACATTAGTTTTTTGGTTTATTGATACAAATTTAAAGTTAATTTTGTTCTACTGTATGTATATTTCTATTTTTGTTTAAGGTATTATGTTTATGCAGCTCATTTAAAAATGTAATGTATAATTAAGAAATACAGATTAATACTCATCTGTACTAGTCAAATTTATAGTCATGATAGGTGTGTTTTCAAGGTCATACACAGGTCTTCAGACACTTCAAAGACCTATATTTAATATGCCTAACAATCTAAGGCCTTTCATGATTGTGAAACATGGCTGATCCTGACAGCACCAATCAACTTCCATTAAGATGATGGGCGTCAAAGAAACTCCATATGGAGTTTTTAATCCCAAAAGCTAGCCATGTGGTCAAAGAAACTACCCTGGCCTCCACTGCTGACAGTTACTGTCCAAACTGGACAAGGAGGACACAAAAAAGGAGACAGCTAAACTCTCCCAAGACAACATAGGGCAGTCCTTCAGAATTTCCTGCTTCCTGGAAAAACTGTCAGACATGATAGGCCTGTATGCCAGAGCTGGTTCCCCAACATTACACACAGGAACTTTGGGTGACTAACCAGGCAGCTTGAGGTTCCCATCAATAGGTAACATCTCATCCTTCCTGGGTTTTTGATGGAGTTGAAGACTAGATAGTTATAATTTTCTTTAGTTATGATAAAAGATAAATTAGATACAAAACTTTGGACTCACAAAGATAAGATTGATAATAGAGTATTTTCTCCAATTTGCCAAATAAAAACAGACTGGATATTGTACTGTAATTCTTACTTGATATCTTTTAAAAAAATGTAATCTTACTATGTTAACGTTAAAACCTTCCTATTTAATTAGACAAAAGTGGAAAATGCTGTAGAAGCAAGCTGAGAATACCATGCTGAGAAAAGCTGCCAAGCCACATGGGAAAGTATAGATAGGAATATGGGTTAATTTAGGTGTAAGAGTTAGCCAGTAAGCTTGAGCTATTGGCTGAGCATTTATAAATAATATTTGTCCTCTGAATTGATTATTTGGGACCAGGCAGTTAGGACAGGAGACTTCTGCTTACAGTAGAGTTCCTTAAAGAGGAAACAAGTAAATTCCTTAA